TACTTGAAGCAATGCAATTAAGGAAAAAAAGAGATTCTGGGTTTTTCATGCTTGAAAATGCTTTATATGTTGGCTTTTATTTTTAAATTTTCATTTGAATACACTTTACATGTTATGTTTATGTATTTTAATTTTAGATAATAGATTTTTTAAATCATTTATTTAAAATTTAAGTTTATATTTTTATTAACATTATGTTTAATATTTTTTGATTTTTTTTTGAATTTTCTGACTTTTTTTGATTTTTTACCTTTTTTTTTTGTAATTTTGCGCCTTTCTTAAAAAGGCACGCGCCTTGCCTTGTGCCTCAGTCGCAAATTGGCCCTTGCGCTTTTTTTGCGCTTTGCGCTTTTAAAACACTGGGGCAACCCCTCCTTTCCCATCAAAGTTCTTTGGGCATGGAAAGTGCCTTCAAAAGTAGCTTTTCATATCTGGACAGCAGCCTGAGGTAAATGCCTTACCAAGGACAAACTAAGTAGAAGAGGCATCCCAGTCACTTCCTTAAATTGCTCCCTCTGTAATGCTGAATAGGAGATTGCTTAATTTTTGAAGGCAAATCCTCTCAATTAGATGAAATCACCCATAACTTAACAGCAAAGATCCACTCTTGGGCTAAAACTTCTAAGCTATTAATTGAAACCCTTTTTTGCAATTCCCTCTATACTTGTACATGAGGGGTTTTTCCTCCCCATGTACAACATACTCTCTTATATATCAATACAATATGTTTATTCTAAAAAAAATGGTGCTTTTGGCCTCTCTTGTATGGATCATTATCATCATCATCTAGGCCTTGTCTCAACTATATGGGGTACATGAATCATGTTTTACCATTCCGTTCTGTTCAGTGATATCCATTTTTAAATCGAGTACTTAAATCATTTCTTTTTTTTTCTTGATCAGAATGCTTAAATCATTTCTTACTACTTCAATCGATGTCTTTTTCGGTCTGCCCCTGACCCTTCTAGCTCCTCCAACTTACAACAGATTGCTTCTTCTTATGGCTGTTGTAGATGGTCTTCCATGCATGTACTTCAACCCATGTCCTTTTTGTATGGATGCATAAATCAACCAATAGTATGGTACACTAGCAAGACCAAGTGCTAGCAGGGAACAACTGTTTTGGTCCAAGGGGAAAGCTTGTAATTTCTGGAAAACACAGCTTTGGAACTGGAAAGGATTAATGAGAACCCTGCTTTTTTTGCTGGAGCTCAGGAAGAGTGTTTTAGCAAGTAGAAGACTTAAAAAACAGTGAAAGAATCAAGATGTATTTGGCTTAACATGTTTTCTCTAGACTAAAAGAAGAGTTTAGTGGTTTAAAGGTCGGAGTATTATCTCTTGGGGGTGGTTTTGTTCTTGGTCTTGTTGAGAGAGGCTGATGTTCTTGTTGGGTTGAAGACTTGAAGTTTGATTGTTTGTGCTATCTTTATGGTTTTGTTTGGTTTGGACTGTTTGGACTGTTTGGGGGTGTTGGGTGATGTGGAGGTTTATATTAGGTGGATTTGTGGGTTCTTGGGTTTTTGCTGGTTTTTTCTGTTGGGTTAAGTGTCTGGTTTGGAGATCTTCTTTGGAAGTTGAAGTTTGTCTTTTCTTTTCTTTCTTGAGTTACTTCTGGTCACTCCCCTTTCTACCTTCTTTTTTTTTTCTTTTATAATAAATTTTGTTTTATTACAAACAATCTTGTAATTTATGAAATTATATCAGTTTGGGATGGGTGGTAGGGGTGCATGTTGTGCGTATTCATTTCTTTTAATTATTTATCAATAAAGTCATCAGTTACCACTAAAAAAATCCTATTATGGCCAGATGAGAAGGGCTATACTGATATGCATAATCTGAGCAAGGAAAAACAGGATAAAACAACAAAAGGAAATGAACACAAAAACATGTAAGACTCAAAAATTCCCCCAATGCACCTATAGAGTAACCCTTTATTTTTCTTTATTCTCCCTTTGATATTACAAGCATACTAGTGTTTTAAAAGCGCAAGGGCCAATTTGTGACTGAGGCGCAAGGCGAGGCGCGTGCCTTTTTAAGAAAGGCGTAAAATTACAAAAAAAAAAGGTAAAAAATAAAAAAAGTGCAAAAAATATTAAACATAATGTTAATAAAAATATAAACTTAAATTTTAAAATAAATGATTTAAAAAACCTATTATCTAAAATTAAAATACATAAACATAACATGTAAAGTGTATTCAAATGAAAATTTAAAAATAAAAGCCAACATATAAAGCATTTTCAAGCATGAAAAACCCAGAATCTCTTTTTTTCCTTAATTGCATTGCTTCAAGTATGAATGTGATGCAAAACATATTACATTCTTGATTCTATGAGTCGCCTTTGTAGCACGCCCCTCAAGGCAATTCGGGCTTGCCTCGAGGGGCGTGGCTGGGGGTCTGGGGGCGGAGCCCCCGGCCCAGCCGTTAGACTCAAAAAACAGCAAAAAGCGCAAAATTTTAATAAGGTAGGATATTTAAACTGATCTAAATTTTCTGCAGGTTCATAAAAAAACTGATCTATTTAAACCATAATCGTGAGCAAATACATAAATATACTCTTGAAAGATAAGTGGATATAGAAAATCTATCTATTTCTAAATATCTTTGTAATACCTCCATTCATTTGAAATTCGATTTGAACCAAAGGTAGGATATTTCTTGGTTATCAAATGATACATAGTGTGATAAAGTCAAAACAAGGTATATAGTAAGAAAGGAATAGATACCTCGRGGACAGGTAGGCTAATCAACGGATCCTCTATCCTCTCTTTTTTCATCCAATTTAAATTTATTTGTGTTCGTTCGTTATAGGATAATGAGATAGTTAGAAATCCTTTATTTTTGCAACCCGATHGCTCTTTTGACTTTGGAAAAGAAAAAATTATCTTTATCAATATATCGATTCTTCTACACATTTGTCTTCACTCTATAATGGGGAATAATTAGGATTCATTAAAAAAATCGATAATCCACTCATAGGRGAACCCTTTCCCGCATCAGGCACTAATCTATTTTTAACGTCTAATTAGATHGGGTAATCATTCGAATTAAGAACAGAAGCTTGCTGCTTTTTGTTTCTCTATAATTGGAGCCATAGGGCTCTATCCATTTATTCACTCGACMCAACTTTGTWTGAATTTTGTGTCGCGCTCAAAAATTCAAATAAGATTTTGTACCAATCCAGTAAGGATGAAGTATTCTCAGAGTTCTCCATTGATACAACATGCTATTTTTTCCTTTCATTCCCTTTCAGTATCAGTCGCGGTCTTACAAACTCTACCAATGGTATGGACGAATTCGTTGCTTCATCCAAATGTGTAAAAGATCCTAGCCGCTCCACTTTTTTCCTTAATTGCATCGCTTCAAGTAGTTAATTTCGCCTTTGTAGCATGCCCCTTGAGGCAATTCGGGCTTGCCTCGAGGGGTGTGGTCGGGCCCAGCCGTTAGACTCAAAAAACAGCAAAAAGCGCAAAATTATAAAAAGGTGCATGCCTGGGCTGAGGCGCAAGGCGCACCAGGCGTGCGCCTTTTGAAGGAGGTGCGTCTAGGACTTGGGTGAGGCGCATACCCCAAAATGTGCCTCGCCTGTGCGCCTAGGCATGCCTGATTTTAAATCACTGAAGCATACAATGTCTCTATGGTCTTTTATTTATCAAAAAATGTCTCTATGGTCTTTTGTAAGTTCTTTTTTTTAATGAAGATTTTGTTTTACCCTAAAAAATATTACAAGCAAAATGTGCAACTATATTTTGCTTCTTCCTTTAGCTTATTCTTTCATATTTTCTGTTTTAAGAATATGATTGGTGTTGCTTAAATGATTCTGTGGGGTGTTTCTATGAAAAGGTATGAAAATTATGCATGTTTCATAGACAAGTGTTTTACAGGTCTCACTAAAACACTCTGGGTCTCTTTTTATGTATGCGGGGCATGAAGGTGGAGCATATGCCAAGAACAGCTTCGGGAATATGTACGCAAATTATTCAATTTGTTCTTTTTTATGATTAACTCAGAAAATGGAGTCATTAATTCAATTCGTTCTTTGGATATCTTTCTTCTTCTTCTTCTTCTAATTTTTCTTTTTGATTCTTTCATTGTTTTCTCCCCATGGTTGTTTGATAGTTTTAGTTTCGAACATTGAGTTGAAACATTGGCAACTGTATTTCTAGTGCAGATACACTGCCGTTGGTGTTTTTGTTCTTGGGCGGATGTTTTCTGAGGCATGGGGCACTGAAGCAAGCAGAAAGCAAGCAGAATTCAATGACTTTCTTGAGGTAATTTGCAGATTTTTTTGAGGAATGCAGCAGACAGTTACTTGTCTTGTTTGATCTAAAACGCCTGACCTTGATATTGAATTATTGGTTGCTATTTTAGTGAATCAACTTCATTGTGTTTCAGTTAATGGAGTTGATACCTGAATGATATTGTATTTCAAATTCCAGTTTACACTAAAACCTTAAAATAACCACTATTGGTCCAGAAGCCAAACTCCATTATAATGCTGCCACTTGTCTTTTATCTGTATGGAACATTGCTTTGGCTTTAACTTGGTCTTAGTAGTTCCAATAATTTTAATTTCTATTCAGTGCTTACTCAAGACTTAGAAGTTCAGAACAGTTTTTCTTAGTGTGATTTTGGTTAGTAACTGTTGATAACTATATTGATATTTAAAAGAAGAATGGCCCTCTAGTCACTGATCTGGTTTCCCTTAGCTTCTCCTTAGCGTATCAAACCCAGTGCAATTGATTCTTTGTTGCTCCTTGTTTTGCTAGACCATCTAACAAACTGCTGGCAAATCTTTATTTTTGAAGAGGTAAAGTAAAATTGTATTAATCAAAAGAAAGATATACAAGTATATTGGCTTAATTGTACAAAGGATTCTGTACATATGAGCACCATTAAGGGTAGGGGTGATTATGGCTAGGCTAGGCTTAGCACCTGTGATAAAGGTTATAGCCTAGGCCCGGGCCTGGCCCAGCCCGGACCTGGGGCCCAAGTTGGACTTTGGGTCTATGGCATCTAATAATAAAAATATAATTATTAAGAATATTTTAAATTAAATGATGTATAATACATGAAAAAAATATTGCACAAGCCCAAGCTAGGCCGAGGTTGGCTAGGCTGGGCCTATGGCACAAGGCATGGGGCCATGGGCCTCATTTAAGTCTTAGGCTTGGCTTGGCTTGTCTGTCCTTTTATAGATGAAAGCAAGGCCTTCATTCCCATTCCTAAGCAATGTGGAACTTGGAGGTTGGAACAACATTCATGTTGGGAATGGGAATGCTATATATATATATATATTGCAGGCTGTGTTGGGACTGCACACAAAAACCTGGGCCTGGATGCAGAAATTTGCGGGCTGGGCCAAGAATGATTACCCCTATTTTTTTTTATCAGTAAAAACAGAGAAACTTTATTAATATAGAAGAAATTTACAATGGAGAGCAGCCTTAGCTACCCTTGTAAACAAACAGGAGAAAAACAGAAAGACAAACCCAGAAAAAAGCTATTTAAATTACAACCATGCCCAGAAAATCTGTTCTCTTCTAACCCCTTGTTTTGCTAATTGATCTGCTAACTTGTTTGCCAATCTTGGAACCCACTGGATTGAAATCTGCATATCTTTGGACAGACTTCTGAATTTTTTTGATCTCATTTCTGGACCACCAAGGACTCTTATCCTTTCCACTCAACCAGCTTAGTCTCACTTTAGAATCCCCTTCAATTATGAATTTCTGAATGCCTAACTCGATTGCTTTTTGTAGACCAAACAGAACTGCCTCCAGCTCAACTCTTATAGAGTTTCCTTCCCCAATTGGTCCCGAGAACAACCCCAAGATTTCTCCCTTTTCATTTCTTAACACTCCTATTCCAGAAGGGCCTGGGTTACCAACACTAAAAATGATTACCCCTAATTAAGAGCCTCTAACAATATTAACAGCCTAAAAAGAAGACAAAAAGTCCTCTTTAAAATTTATATTGATTCTCAACCATCATCTCAGATCCTTCCAAACCAAAAAAAGAGCTGAAAAGCAGGGGCTTAGTCCCTTCTTTTCCTTCTTCTTTTCTAAGACACTAGGTGATGGAGCTCTCCCTTGTCACCTAGGTTCACCCTGGTGCCTTGAAAACTATAGGTGTTCCATTAATTAAGGTTGGGAACCAGGCTGAACGAGTACAATCTCTAGGGTATGGCCTCCAACACGTACCCGAGTACAGGGTTTTAAAGAAAGAAGTAATCTCATCCTTGTTTAAATCTTGCTCTTTAATTTCTTGTACCTCCACCTGTAGCTTACTAATATAATTTTTCCTACGTCTCTCATTTGTGTATATGTTGGAGAATCTAGTGACCCTAGATCTGTCTCCACTAATTTTTTTCCTATGAACTGTACTTCCTCTTTCTCATTGGGTGTATTGTCTGTCCTATGATCTTCAATGTCCAAGAGACTATTACCTCTTTGTTATCCAGATTGGTGTTTTCTCCCAAAATTTTTCTCTTCTCCTCAATATACTTGAACGTTTCTTTACAACATGTTGTGAGTTTGTTCTTGATGTATTGTAATGTTTTAAAAATCTGTATCCATCCCACCCTTCTCTAGTAATCTCTATCCACCATTTAGCCAACTCCTCTTTGAAGTAGTGAAAAAAGATCCGTAACTTGTGAAATCCGAATGGGGACTTTCCTTTCCATTGGTTGAGTGGTTTCTACCAAGAAGAGTTTACTGATTCCCTTTTCATGAGAAGTGGTTCCTACACTCAAATTACTGTTTCTTCAATTCATTTTCCTGCAAAAAATTCCACCTAGAAGGATTTACTGATTCCCTTTTTTATGAGAAGTTGTTCCTACCCTCAATGTGTGTTTCCTGGACTTATTTTTACCTATATTGTGGTTATACTGTCTAAACAGTTAACCATCATTCCCCAAGCCTATATGATGTTGCATTAAATACAACATTTAAATCTATTGCATGGTATTGACTGGTAGAATATTATACATGTTTTATTGGCCAACCTTTAGGCTCTAGCTTATTCCTATTATGAATCGTGGGTTACTCTTCAGAGATCCATGAGGTGTTGTTGGTGTCATCCCCTGTTTGGTGTACAGACTGCATTCATGGTTGATTAAGCTATGTTTTTTAAGGATCCCAGAACATATCAAAAGTGGAAAAATTTTTTGAAGACCGTCTTGGTTTCTTCCATGGATTTGTACAAAACTCAGTACTATTACAAGTGGTACATCATTTTATTTTAAATTCAACGATTTCAATATGAATAAGTGAAAGCTGTTTTTGTTGTGAATACATTAATGTGCTGCTTGTGACTGAGTGAGTGAGTGTACGTGGTCCCTTATTTTTAGTCTACAGACTACATTTTGTGAAACATGGTTGGTTTTGCTATACATTGGGGATTTGGGAAGTTTTTTTTGGATACTTGCATTGGCCTTTTCCTATGGATGAGGAAGGAGGGGGAGGGAGGCCTATGGTGCTATAGTCATTGTCTTTGAGGAGGTAGATCATAGGTAACCAGAGGAAATATTTTGATCTGCTGGTTAATTCTTTGGCTTGAAGTGGGATAGGGAGGACAAGTTATAATTGGTTTAAGCCCTACCTGATCAGGAATTCTTGTGTTATATAGTCTATGGGCAGGTCATGTGCACAGCCTAGGGTTTATGCATTTGTTTTGTTTTAAATTTTTGCTCTATTTTTACTCACTTTTCATCTATGTAATAAAATTTACTGGATGTATTACTGATTGAAGCAAACAAACAATTGTTATTGTTGAAGTTGTGATCATTTAACATGTCTGTATCTTCCAGGGAAACGAATAATTCAGAGTTTCATACATTTCCTGTTACAGTTACAGTTTCTTGGAATTTGTAGAGATAATGTATTTCTGACTTTGTTTCCAGAGGAACCGTATGTGCATATCAATGGAATTAGTAACTGCTGTTCTAGGAGATCATGGACAACGGCCTCAGGAAGATTATGGTATATTCTTCCTCTGTCTCTCTCTCTCTCTCATTCCTCCTTTCCCAATAGAAGGAATTATTCATTGAAATCTTGTAAAAGCTGGGATGACAGAGTTATGTCCCATACAGGGGAAGTTCTAAAAATTACCAAATTATGATTCTTAGTTTTCTCTGGTTACTTCTATACAGAACGGAATGGCCAAACAGAATTTATGTAGCCAGCTCCATATAATTGGGACAAGGCTTAGATGATGATGATAAATTCTCTGGTTACTTGTCTGTGATGTTTATTACTAAATTTCTGGTCTATTTTACATAAATTTTATGTTTGTAGGATTTTTTTAATTGTATTTTTTGAGTTAATTGGTAGCTGATGCTGAAATTTGCTTCACAGTTGGCTTTTTAGTCAATTTCAGAACTTGCTTCACTGCATTATGTAGCCTATCTGGATTACCTGCATGCCATTTTTCTATTCAGTATGGTTAAAGCATCACCTGGCCATCACAGTTAGGTGTTTTGGGAGTAACCACCAGAAAGAAAAAAGAAAGAAGTTTGGGAGTTTTGGAGGCCTACCACCCAAGTGATCAACTAGGCAGTGGTTAAATAGATATTGAATTAATAGGAGTGCATGTGGAGCTAAAAATTAGGCCTTTTAATCCTTGTGTGTGTATGTATATTTTCCTTTGAACCAGGGAATTTATTAAAAATGTTATCATTATTTCTGAAAGTCAAGTGTAGAGGCCACTGATTGAATGAGTGGTCAGGGAATGGCAGAGCCTTTATGGTGTATGTATGGCCTAGGGCTTTGGCAATGGCAGAGCCTTTATGGTTGGGGAATTGGGATGAGACAGGGAAGAAGCGATATGCAGAGGCCACTGATAGATTGAATGAGTGGCGTTATAGAATGGTTTGTAGGGGAGTTGGAGCTGAACCAATCCAACCCCTTTGGTGTGTTACACACCCAGGCATGTACAACATGGTTCAATTAACTTATCAACAATTAGTTTGCTTCTAGTCCTAGCTTTCCTCAAAAAATGCATCCATTTCTCTCTCCATGTGCCCCAACATACCATAGAATGAATCATGCTCCAAAGAACTTTGGCCTTCTTACCATTCCCATTGTGTGGCCAATTGGAATCTGATTTCTGTATGTTGAACAGAGAAAAGAAGAAATTTCACAATTTTCTGACATACTACAGTGAATGAACAAGTATCTCATGTTTTCTGCATGTTCTTTATGCATCAAACAGATACTTGGCATCTGGAAAAACCCTAGGAGGGATTGGGTTTCCCCACAACCCCTCAACATTAGACCTTTCAACCTGATCTCTTGTTACCACTTCATAAAGCATTTTAATAGAAAACTTCCCATCCATACATTCTTTCCCACCATCTTGTATCTGGCTCATTTGCATCCACCTTCATAGCCTCCAAATTTAAAAACAATGTTGAAGATTAATTAGTTTTATGATGTTTTATGTTAGTTATTAAATAGGAGGTGGGGACCACAGTAGTTATGTGAGTCCAAATTTTATTATGTTTTTTGAGTGTTATTTATGCTGTTTTATGTTTTGCCGCCTTATAAGGGCATAGTTGTCTTTGTACTGTTCTATTATTTTAGTATAAATAATAAGTGAAGGGGGCGGCCAGATCATTTCTCTCTTTTCTTTCAACTTCTCTTCTTCTCTTCTTCTCCTTCTCTCTTCCTTCTCTCTTCAAGAAACTACTTTCTTTCATATTTTTTAATTCAGCAGATTTCTACAAACAACATAGAAAGTTCTTCCAATTCTCTAACAGAAGATGCCTGAAAGTCGGACTCCACGTATTATCTGCTCACCCCTCTTTTTGAAACATTGACCAACTGTTATGTTCTTCATGGTCTATAGAATCTTGGTCAAATATTACAAGGTCTCTCTCCACACATCGTTCATCTTTCCAAAATCTCACAATAGTATTGTGATCTTTAATTTTATGAAAATATTTTAGCATTGATGAAAGAAACTTTTAGATGGAAAAGGAATTACTTCTGTGTGGTAGAATAACTCTGATCAAATCCTCCTAGAAATTGCCAATTTACATTCTGTTTGGATAAACTTTTGCTTTTGAGCTTTGGGCTGTAGGACTCTAATTTGAGTAAAAAAAAGCATATTGAGCATTTGTTAAGAGTTGCTTTTAAAGATATAGCAATTTGAAGCCAAAACACTTTAAGTCTCAAAGCACAAAGGCTAAAATTGGGGCTTTAATAGTACAAAAACTGAAGCTTATCCAAACACAACATTACTTATTGTCATTTAATGATTCTGTGGAGATAGTCAAAAGAACTAAAATATGTGATGTTTTGTTGTGAGACTAAACTTTGATGGAAGCTTCTTGGGAAGTGAAGGGCTGGTTTAGGGGGTGTTTTTCGAGATTCAGAAGGTGAGATACTAATCATACTAGCACTTTCTTTGGGTCCTGTAGAGCATGGAGACTCTTTGACAGAAGAATTAATGGCTTTGCATTAAGGGCTGAAATTAGCAAAGCAGTTTGGGTTTCAGACGCTAGAAGTGGAAGGAGACTCCCAGGTGGTTATTTCCTGGACAAATTTTTGGCATTCACAAGCACAAGATCAGGGAAGTTGAAAGCTTAACAAGGGAATTAAGGCTATGTATGGTTTGAAGGAAAAAGTAGGGAAAGGAAGGGAAATGTAGAGAAACCTTTACAAACCCTGTATAGGTTTCCCTACCTTTCCCTTCCTTTCCCTACATTTTCCTTCAAACCAAACACAACCTAAATGTTACTTTGCAATGGGCGAGAAGAACTGCAAATGGCATGACAGATGCTTTAGCTAAACAGGGGGCAAATAGGCAACAATTATTTTGGACTAAATTATAAGGCTGTGTTTGGGGATTGCAGTCTAGTTGTAGCTGGATAATACTATGGATGTGGATAACTTACCCACAGAATTGTAAGCTCAAGTTTAACAACTGTTCTAATAAAATTTACCTTTACTGATAAAAAAAAAATGGAGAGGTTGGACAGGCTGGGTTGGACAGGCTGGGGGAAGAAGGGGTGTTTATGAGAGAGGCTCAACTGGGGAGGGAAGGGCAATTTGGTTGAAAGAGGGGGATAGAAACACTACTTATTTCCATGCATTTGCAAATTCTAGAAGGAGAAACCTAATTACAAGAATTCATGTGGGGGAGGATATGGTGGACAATTGGGAGGAGATTCAAAGAAAGGTGTTGGGTTTCTATAAGAGACTATTTGGAAAGGGGTTGAAGCTGACTTGCTCTAGGAGGTTTGGTGCCTAAGAAATTAAGTGAGTTCTTTGCTAATTGGTTGGAAAGGGAGATTGAGATTGAGGAAATCAAAGAAGCTTTGAAGAGAATCAATGGGGATAAAGCCTTGGGCCCAGATGGATTTAATTTTTACTTTATCAAAGCTGGTTGGAGCTTCCTGGAAGAAGATTTTGTGCAGATGATCAAGGAGTGTTGTATTTTGAAAGAGTTAGAGATAGGAGATTTAATGCCACCTTTATTAAGTTTATTCATAAGGATGGGGCAGTGAATATTAAAGATTTCAGACCAATAAGTCTAATCAGTAGTCCATATAAGCTATTGGATAAGGTGTTGTCCAGAAGATTGAGGGGAGTAATTCATGAGGTGGTGAGAGAAACCCAAATGACATTTGTGGAAGGGAGGCGAGGCAAATTTTGGATGGGGTGCTAGTGGCTAGTGAGTGTATTGATTTGAGACTTAGGAGTGGGAGATCAAGGTTGGTATGTAAGCTCGATATTGAGAAAGCCTATGATCATGTGGAATGGGGTTTTCTGGAGGAGATGCAGTGATGGGTTTTGGAGAAAAATAGAGAAGCTGGACGTTTTCTTATGTCTCATCTGTCTTTTTTTCCTTAATCCTTAATGGGGTCTTCACAGAGTTTTTTCAAGCCTCTAGAGGATTGCGGCAAGGGGATCAATTTCCCTTTGTCTTAGTTATGGAAGTGATGAGTTTGCTCATGGAGAAGGGTGCACAATTGAGATGGATTGAAGGCTTTAAAGTTGGATTTGAGGGTCCTTGTATCACTCATCTCCAATACGATGACACTTATTTTCTTGGATGCCTCAGTGGACCAGGTGCTGAATTTAAGGGCCATACTAGCCAACTTTGAATTGTTAACATGGTTCAAAGTTAATCTTAATAAAATCCAATTAATTGGTGTGGGGAAGTAGGGAGGGAGGAGCTGGAGTATTTGGTTGTTGCTTCTGATTGTCTGACTGCAGATTTACCATTTCTTTACTTGGGTTTACCGGTGGGTATTAAGCCATCTGTAGTAGAGAGCTGGAGAGGCAATAGTTGAAAGGGTGGAAAAGAGGTTGGAGAGGTGGAAAGCAAAATATCTCTCTAGGGGGTAGAATTACACTTATTAGGTGTGTTCTCTCAAGCTTATCAACTTACTAATTTCATTATTGAAGATTCCAGCTAGGGTGGCTGATAGAATTGAGAAAATTTTGAGGCATTTCTGTGGGAAGGGGTGGAGGGTCTTAGGAAATTTCACATAGTAAAGTGGGGTAAGGTGTGTCAGCCAAAATAAAGAGGTGGACTGGGTCTTATAAGAATAAGAATTTTTAATAAGGCTCTCTTGGGCAAATGGTTGTGGAGGTTTGGGTTGGAGAAGGAGAGGTAATCTCTTTGGAGGAGGGTGGTAGTTGGGAAGTTTGGAGTGGGAGCCGAGGGAGGTTTCAAATTCTTATGGGGTGAGTGTCTGGAAAGGGATAATGCAGTTCAGTCAGGATTTCAAAGAATTGATCAGATTGAAGGGGGAGATGGGTCAAGGGTTAGATTTTGTGAGGATGAGTTTAGTGTAGGGAAATTGTACGAGTTGTACCCAAGATTATGCAGGCTGTCTGATCATCAAGTTTTGGTTGCTCAATGTTATGAGATGAGCGGTGATCAGGTTGTGTGGTGTCTAAACTTAGAAGACCCTTGCTGGATCAGGAAGTAGAAGAATGCATACTGTTGTTGGAAAAGTTGCAGCAAA